TTAGACGTATGGAGGAGGTGAGCAGCAGTGGCGTCGGCGGAGACTTTCGCTACTGGGTGCTCTGTGGTTTCAGCTGCGCCATGGTGGCGCAGCAGTGCCCAAGCCTTGCGACTGGAATGTGTGAAACCCAGTGTTTCCCCAGTTTTCCACCATCATTTCTGTCGCTCTGAATTCAAGCATGACGTGCAGTTTCAGGAGATCCTCGGTGTTTGTATTTGTACTCCATGTAATGTTCCTCTGTCTCTTTCAATCAGCACGGAGGGTAGGTCTTCCGGTATCCACGAGGGATTGTTTGTCGCAGCAGAGATTAATATTCGAAAAAAATGGCAAATGCTTGGGGCGTAGGCAAAACCCGTTGAACACGGTCTTCGACTTCGGCACTGTACGATGATCTGTTTGCTTTTGTTCCAGCGAGGCAGTGAAGCAAACTGAATTAACGGTACCTGCAGACTGAATCGGAGCACAACAAGGCGGTGATGGCAGTTTGGAAAGAATCCAAGTACTGTCCTGGAAACAGGAACCGCTATGCCACTACGGTCTTTGGAAACGAAGCAAAGGTGCGGGCTTCGGTGAATCTTTCATCTTGCTGATCTGATAGTACCTTGCATCACGGCACAAGTGTTACACCAGCTGCTGATGCCCAGTCGGTTACCTGTTCACCTGTCGCATTGTTCACGGTGTACCCTACACAGTATTGTGGCTGTTAAAGTCGCCCGCATAAACAGTTGGGTGAAGCATCGTTGTTCATCACAGAGATTTCTCCGACGGTCACTGTAGTGCATTCAAGACCATTTAGTTTGTCTATTTGTTCGCCGATCCGATTTTCGCTGCTGTTTATGACCACTCTAATCTCGCATATGTAGCTAGACCGTGTTTGGAGACAGAGATATTAGCGACCATACTGAACCCAGCAATTTTGTATCCGGCTGCTTTGCGATCATCTTCGATGAGCGTCTCTTGCAGAATGGCGACGTCAATCTTGTTTTCTTTTAACGTCCTCGATAGATATTCGTATTTGGCGTAGGAAATGCCTTCGACCTTCAGCCGAAATGTGCTGAGCATGTGGCCTGCGGCTTCATTTCTTTGGCCCTCATAAAGACTGTTTGATTTGTTTGATCTTCTTCTATGGCCGCCAGAAGCACTGTTGTGTTTTTTCGCTCTTCTTCTTCTATGACCTTCATAAGGTTCATTGGAAGGTTTATTTGTTTATGCTCTATCACCCTCAGAAGGGCCATTGGGTTTATTTCGTACTGGTCTACATGTTTGGTACTGAGAAGAACCGCTAGATTTGTTGCTAGTCGTGCCGTGAGATTACTTTCGCAAAGTTCGGCTGCCAGGTGACGACAGTCGTTGCATCGCTAAGCTATGGTGTACTTTCGCAATACGTAACAGGAACACCACGTGAAGGCTGTCGTCTTCCCCTCCCCCCCCACATCTCCCACTGAAGACTGGGAACGACTTCAATCGAATGAGAATCTCCGTGGTGGCCGTCGGGTACGTGTCGATCGACGGACTGGTCCGTGAGTTGATTCGTAAACGTAGCTGCTCCGACTATCATCACTGCATCGTAGCGGCGAACTGTTGCTTGACTGCAGGCCGCTGGTTATTCCGTCACCATTACTACTGCTGCCGTATGACTGCAT